GCTATTAAAAAATATTCACATTTTGCATTAATGTTTAAATATACAAAGTGTCCGGTGACTTTTTTCCACTGAGTGTATGTTATTGATCTGAAATACACTGTCTGCTTGTTTTCATTCTTACTTCATGTCTTTCTTAACTTTTGTTACGTTTATTTTTAATAACTGCAAACTATTTTTTAGCTTCAAATAGCTGTCAAGCTAATGGTTGTAATGAGTTTGCCTACTACATTATACAATCTTTTTGACAAAAATTTCATTTCTTTATCGCTAATAGTAATATCTTAAACTTGTCAACTAAACTACAATCCTTTATTCGTACCTGTTTGGAAATATCTGGAAAAATATAGCGTGGTATATGCAATTAAACACTACGAGTTAGATAATCTACATCTATAGACTATGCTAACTTTTTAAAAAAAATTGCCAAATGTTTATAATTCTGCATGCCTTTGCCATTGTAATGTGTTGGGTTAACGAAATTCTGTATCTTTTTTATACCGCAAAGGCGCTTCTCTCATTAATTTTTCAAAAAGTAGACATTTGTAATATTATTAATCTTATCTTAACTGTATGCTCAACCGCTGTTTGCGAAAAAATTGACGTGTAATCTAACCTTTATTGCTGCAATCTCATCAATATGCAACATGTCTCGTATTTAATGTACACGTGTTCGAATTGTTCGATCTACCATTTCGGCGTCAATTTTGTTTAAGTATACGGAAAGTACCAATAGTTTGTGTAAATCAATAGCACTTTTATTAGATTGTTGTGATGTAACAATAGTATTTTTTTTTTTCCAGAACGTCAATTAATATACTTTGAATTAAATACAAAAATAAAAAGTTTTGTATTCACAAAAATTTACAAGCTTTCTGTACATTGGAATAGTTTATCGGTTTTTCCCGTTTAGATAACCATTTAGTTGTACAAGTGGAGAAATTGACAGACTGTGTATAGCCAAGTACAATATACTGTAACTTTTACCTTGATAATTGTAACATATTGAATGTTTAAAATTTTGCAGGTGATATTCGATCGAGCTGAAATTTTACAGGTGATCAGTGTTTGTGGTATGTTATATGTGTTGACATTTTCAAAGCGTTTGCTCTTGCATATACTAAATTATGAGGAGTCAACTACTTATGCACCTTACTGTATTTAAACGACGATACGATATGTATTCACCGATGATTCGATACGATGTAATCAGAATGTGCGCGTAAATGTACATAATGGTTTATTCACATCATCCCACAGAAGCTCTTATCGAACGAATTTGAAGTCACGTAAACGTTCTATAAGTAGCAACTCAACTGTGTACAGTAAGTATTATCTATGCTTACTAAATATCTTAGTGTACGTTGCAAATAAAGTTTTCTCCTTTTATGTAGATAGATAACACAAAAAAATTCAGCATTTTAATGATTACAACTACAGTCAAACCTCGTTATACCGATATTTTTGTTCCGCCAAAAATTTATCGGTAAATCGGGATTTTTTTCTTTTCTACCCGATAATATGAGTGATACGCAAAATATCGCTTATCAGGGGTGTTGGATGAAGGTGTCAAGCTTTAGTGTTTGTTAAAGAAAACGATTAACCATAGATACTATCTCATCGTCGTTCATATATTGCTCCGCCGATATATTGCGTTGTCCCAGCCTAGACGACCAATAGAAGATTGTATAACATCGTCGTTGTCGTCGATGTTCAATTCACAGTAATATGCCGGTCTTCCTCCAACGCAACGTAGTTTCCGTAACAAAACTCCACAATAAGTAGATCATATGAATCAGCGATATGTTGTACAAGCAATCGACGATAGTGACAAATGAATTGGGCTTTCGTACTTACCTTGATTTAATGATATCGCATGAGACGTGGTGTTGAGGGGTGGTAATTGACTAGGCTCCAGGATAGTGTATATTTCTTTCTTCTGTGCATTCTCGATGAAATACAGAATGATTAACCCAGAATGTTCCTAATTAGTGAATGCTACACAATTATCGGTAGAGCTTAATAGTGTAATAGTAAATGGTATTGATGTATTGGTATAAAGGTTATTATTATACTTATCGAAATAAAATTTTCTATCTAAATTTTGGGGCCGGCGTTTTCCATCGATATTATTATATGGAGGTTATCGGTATAACGGGTATCGGTATAACGAGGTTTGACTGTATACACATTTTGCTATCACAGTCTGTTTCGCTTTCCTACAACCAATCAATCATTTTCATGGAGTGTGGCCTATGATGATCGATTGTTTTGAGACTTCATTTTTAGACCAGTTCTAACATGATCCCCTGGCGTGGGAAGAGAACAATGCAATGCTTGTACCTTGCTAAAACTATAAATAATACTCTGAGATGTAATAAAGAAGTGGTCAAATAGCAAGACCAATTGGATAGTTCGTGTGTTAGTAACTAATTATGTAAGAATGAGCGTAAGTACGTTGTGGCATCTAATTATGTAAGAATGAGCGTAAGTACGTTGTGGCACAATAAATATAATAGTATCAGTGTTGTGACTACATATAAGTTAAAACCAGCTTTAGCAGTCAGTTTATCTGTAGTTGGACAACAATAAAGTCTTACTTTATTCGCCTGCAGTATGCAACAAATTAGTTCAGATCGCCAATGATCAGACGTTACTGCCGCTTCTTCGGGTTTGCACCGTCTTCTAATCTTAATTCTCAAATTCCCCCCACTTCATCGCCGATGCAAGAAAAAAAATCCTTTTATTACATACACATTCTGTTTGTTACTTCCTCTGGAAATGGATGTAATCAAATAATTGAAACAAAAAACAATCTCATCCACATTGTGAGGTTAAAATCAATCGTACGATGACTCCAGCAAAATATCGCCGCACAATTAAAAGGTTAATCGTAAAGCTGAGGTAGTAATAACGAACACGATTGTGCTACAGAAACATGTTACGTGCTATCACATATAACTGACGATTAATCGTGCGAGATTCGAGACCGTCGTAGCATCGTTTATAGTATGCATTTCTATAAACGAGATGTCTCAAAATTCTAGTAGCAATAAGGTCAGGCAAGCACAATATTCGATCATTTCAAAATTCACAAACTATTGTAATAATTGACTTGGGCGTTCTAAGGTTGGTTCGTGCGTTCTAATTTGACATTAAATTAGGTCTAGACTTGTTCTGGGTGAATCTAGGCGAGATGCTTACTAAGCCTGCCGTACGTAGCACACACATATTGTTATGTTCTTTATCGACAAGTCTTTTCCGACCATACTCCAATGAGCACTACTTCCCTTGATAATTATTTCATATAAGACGAACCCGTAACTTCAATGTATATCTCGTAGCATAGCTCTAATATTATTTATTATCTAATACTAATGAGCAAATTCACAACCACTCCAGACGCAATAACCGCTCCAACAAATTTTGATGATGAAACGCCCGTAGCAGAATTAGTGCGATCCTTTGACTGGGCATCTACACCATTGGGGCCCATAGACAATTGGCCTTTCTGGTTAAAGTCAGTCGTGGTAAGAATGAACATGGATGAGGATGCGTAAAATTAAAAGTATGAACATTTGGAAAGATAACAGGATAGTTATAATTACCGATCTATACATTCACGCCGACTGTTTTAATGTTCGATATCCCAGCATTTGTGTCTTCACGCTGTGATTCCCATCACAGTATATATTGGACCTGAAAGAAGGATGATATACAACCAGAGTGAGTAAAAAACTATAATGATATAAACCCTCAAATATTTATTAATATTACTAACCCGTTCCGTCTAAAATATCAGTGTGGAGACCAATTTTCCAGGCGGATCATCCTGATGGTAAGCAAGTTGAGTCAGCATCTCCTGGTATTTTAATGTCACGTGGATACTAACAAATAGTAGCCTTGGGGAAGTCTGGGTTAGAATTCTACCCTGATGCCCACGAACAATTGGATCCATTATTTAAAGCGTACGTATAAAACTGTAGAAAGAAACAAACCTTTATTTTTGTGTTTCTCAAGACTTATCATTACAATTCATCTGACTGTTGTAGAGCCTTTGCAGGAAAAGGTCAATTCCAAGAAGAATTTCCTGCATATCTCAATAGAACTGGCTATCTAGAAGAGATATTCTGTACATTTTCGCTCAGTCCTGTATTTACTGATGATGGGGGAATAGGAGGAGTAATCTGTCTTTTGCAAGAGATTACGCAAAAAGTTCTTATGACTAGAAGACTGAACCTACTAAAGGAACTTGCTAATGGAACGCGGGGTATGTATACTGTGAATCGTCAATAAATATCATTATCACTGTTCATGTCCTTTGTCTATTTTGTCACTATGCCTCTTTCACTGATTGCTCGCAATCTACACACAGGAGTAAAATCAATCCAAAGTGTTTGTCATTCATTTGCCAAAATTCTCCGCGATAATAACGCGGACATACCGTATGCAATATTATACATTGTTGAAAATCATGAAAGAGAACCTGAAGATAAGCCACAAAGAGTACGACTAGAAGCTACGACGTTTGATCAAGATGTACAGCTTTTTAAAAGAGCTGATGGATCTGATGAATATATCTACATACATGGTCATTCCAGCAGAGAGCTACCCGACAATTTACTAAAGACTCCTGATCTGATAGACTTGACAGATTCCAGCCAAGATACTGATAGTACACGTGCATATACTGATGCATCTAAACCGTGGCCAATAAAACGCGCAGTGCTCAATGACGAGAATGTAGTTATAAGATTGCCTGACAACTCTATAGCTGTATTGTGTCCAGTGTCTTTAATATACTGCGGGAAAAGCGTATTGACTGCTGTGGCGATATTCGGCATTAATAAACATCGAGTGCTGGATGACGAATACAAGGGATTTCTCCAGGTATGAGCTTGTATTTCATATTATTTGTATGATATTGATATGGATATTTACATGGCACCCCCCCAATTTCTATAGCTCGTTGTTGGCCAAATGAGTTCTAGTTTTACACGAAGTCGAGTACGAGAAGAAGAACAGAGACGAAAAGATGTGTTGGCTGAATTAGACAGGCAAAAAATCGCGTTTTTTCAAAACATCAGTCACGAATTACGAAGTATGTCCGCAATTATATGCATCTTTATTCTTTATCCTACGGTTTATTTATTATATGTCTTGTCCGCATCAATCAATACGCTAATGAGTACAACTTATAATACCGAATTATTTCATCTAGCTCCGTTGACGTTAATGCTTTCACCTTTGGACGAGGCAACTGAACTATGCTCGGAAAACTCTCCAATATTAGGTCATCTCAAACTTGTTCGGAATAGTAACCGAAGATTATTAAATTTAGTAGATAATTTACTTCAGGTAAGAAAGCTTCTTTACCATCTCTATTACATAGTTATCATTATGTTCTAATACTAAATTAATTTCTATCAGTTCACTCATGTAGAAATTAATCGACTTTCGGCATATTTTTCAGATTCGAATATCGCAAACTTTACAAAAGATTTGACGGCAAGTTTTGAAAGCATGGCAAGATCTTTCGGTCTTTATTTTAATCTCGATATTCCTAGCGATCAAGCTCTTGCGTGCCAAATGAAACAGAAAGTATTCCTGGACAACGAGATGTACGAAAAGATACTTTTTAATTTATGTAAGTAACAAACGATTTTATCTGATACAAATACAATCACCTATCTAATCTATTCTGTTTGTTAGGTTCCAATGCATTTAATTATACGTTTACCGGCGGAGTGACTGTCCGATTATTTGTAGAGAAAAAAGATGACAGAGAAGGCATAGTGCTTGAAGTATCCGACACAGGTACAAGTTAACTCCACTTACTTGCATCGTACAACGTTTGCGTTATAGATCAAATAATTGATTACAATTCTTAGGGATTGGTATACAAGAAAAGCATCTCTCAAACATTTTCCAACGCTTCTACCGCATCGAGTCTCAAAATTCACGCCGTAATGAAGGCACTGGAATTGGCCTTTCTCTAGTCAAGGAGCTCGTAGAGCAACATGGTGGTGAGATCTCGGTTGAGTCTAAAGTGGGTATTGGCACTACCTTCCGTGTTTGGTTTCCCACCGGGTGTGAACATCTTCCGGAGAAGCAAGTTCATTTTTGTGCCGAACACAACCAACTTTATTCTGAAGTCTCACCTGGAAGCACATCTGATTCGTCTATTGACTCGTACCTGGGCGAACATATGCAAGTTTCAGAAACTAACAAACTGTCCAGTAAGCGCCGCGATCGCAGTGATTTGCCTTCTACATCATTAAAAAAGCAGGATGGGTGGCTAGAACCGCGTTCGAATCTCGAGTATGTCAACGCCGAAAATACAAGAACGCTCGTCTTGGTTGCCGATGATAATACGGATATGAGGTTTGTTTAACTTGAGTCGACACTACTTGCTTGCACGCTTCTAATGTGGGTTTTACATTTTGATGCTAGAAATTATTTGAGTACTCTGATCAAGAAACAATACGATTGTCTTTGTGCTGTTGATGGCCATGATGCGCTCAAGATCGTACAAAGTTCATCACAATTACCAGACTTGATCCTTTGTGGTGAGTTTCATGCGTTTTGCTAAATTTGCTTTAGAGATGGGTCTTGTATTAAATATTTATTTTGCTTAACAAGATGTCATGATGCCAAACATGAACGGCTACGAGCTGCTTACCGCACTGCGTAACGATCCGAAAACGCAAATGATACCGGTGATTCTGTTATCAGCTTTAACAGGCGAAGCCAGCGTTGAAGGTATATTGTAGTTGTAATTGATAACATTGCGAAAACATTCTTTCAATAACCAAATATTGAATTTGTAGCATTGGAAAAGGGGGCAGACGATTATATATTTAAACCGTTTAACGCTCGTGAACTCATGGCTCGCGTTCGTGTGAATATCAAGCTTTATCATGTCCGTCGTCAACTTATCGCGGAACAGCAGCATAATGCCGAGTTTACGCAAATGTTATTTACAATCGGTAACAAAATACGCTCTGGTTTCGGGATACAAGAAACACTTGAGACGGCTATTTCGGAAATTAAAAAAGTTTTATCATGTGATTCTTTACTGATAACTAAGGATCTTAATGCGGAAGAAGTAAATGGCTGCAAGGTGATGGCTGCTTCATTACATCCAGAAATTGATCCACAAGATATTGTTGGGTGTACATTTTCGTGTTTAACTGATAGCAAAAAAATGGCAGTCGGCAATGAAATGGAAACTTGCTCAACGATCTTGGAATGTACTATTGATCACTGCCATATACATGCGAGATCAGATGCGCTATTGTACGAAGAATGTGATTCTGACAGCTTGGATGTAAAAATATGTACGGATTGTGCATCGAGAATGTTACAACAAAATGTTTCCATTATCAGCGTACCTATTTGTCTGAAATCGTCTCCTTGGGGATGGATTGTTGCTTATCGTCAACCGGGTAGTAAGTGGACAGAGCGAGAGAGAGCTTTTCTGCGACAAGTCTCAAACCAAACGAGTTTAGCCATCAGTCATGGCATCCTTGTTGAAGAAAAATTGAAACGAGAAGCACAAGTCCAGGCTGCAAAAGAAACTAATAAAGCTAAAAGCTTAATATTAACCAATACGTCTTATGGTAAGAAATTGTGCTGACGCTTTGCTTCTGAAGAATACGATAGTAACATTTGGTTCATCAATAGAACTTCGGACTCTGTTGAACACAATTTCTGGGGCACTCACTGCATTCGAAAGGACACCCCTTACATCCGAACAGCAAGACGTTGTTAACGTAACATCACGTGGAGCTAATGCGGCCCTGTCCGTAGTGAACGATATCTTAGATGCAGCAAGTTTGAGAAAACGTGAGCTTACATTGACAAGCCGCACCTTTGATTTATTTGAGTTTATAGAAAAGACGATAATAACGTTTGGCGAGCGTGCGAGCGCAAAGGAGCTTGAGTTGATCGTTTTGTACGAGCCACTGGTACTTCCGAAACATGTAAAGACAGATCCGGAGAGACTGCAACAAGTGATACTGAATCTATTATCTAATGCGTAAGAGCAGTGAATCCTTTTTATCAGGTTGCTTGTGGATATTTTCGCTTTATTAACGAAATATTTATTCATTAGGATAAAGTTTACGGATAATGGTCAAATTGTGGTAAAGTTGTCAATAAAAGACAATCTTGACATAACAGTTGATGATGGCAAAGATCGCATATATGTGGAAGTATCAGATACTGGTGTGGGGTATGATTTTACTTTACCATAGGTGCCGTTTTCTCTTATTCTTCTATTACTCATTTTTAAAGGATTTTTTAGCGTTGATCCGACGTCTATTGAACGTATTTGGGAAAGTTTTTATCAAGGAGATGCTTCGATGACTCGTGGTAGAGATGGTACTGGCTTAGGTCTCTCTATATGTAAAAGTCTAATTGAGCTGAACGGTGGTGAATCTGGGGTCGAAAGTGAGCTTGGTAAAGGAAGTAAATTCTGGTTTACTTGGAATATTGAACGTATGCCTCTGTCAACTGTGCCAATGTTACTTGATCACGACACTTTACAAGCTCAGTCAGACCAAAAATGCCAAGACTCTCTGTCAGCAAAATCTACAAAAGTTCTTATCATCGATTCTGTGGAGGTGGCTAGATCAGCTTACGCTACTCTGATAGCAGGAAGCGTCGAAGCAGTATATACATATTCAGATTGTAACAGCGCACTTGAGGCGGCCAGAGAACATAAAAAGAAATACGGTAGACCTATTTGTGAATTTGTATTTTTCAACGTGGGAAACAATAATGCCATGCAAGTCGAGAATGCGGCCAGAGAACTGAAGCATATCTGTGGAAATCATTTGTCAGTTGTGTTGATGGTGTTCTGGTCAACTGCAGGATGCTCTCTCGGAAAGAATATTATCGAAAGATTAGGAGACAATGTTGCTGCCATCTGTAAGCCAATAACACGGAAGCGTATGATGGAATGCATTTCAAATTTTGATATGCTTATGACTGGGCCTGGAAACGAGAATAACGAAGAGGTCGAAAAGATTCATCTGTCGGCATATAACAAATGTTATTACCATAACCGACCTGTAACTAGCTACCCAGATGGACCAGCGGTGGTGCGAGGCGTTAAACTGTCCTCAGAAAGTGAGAGTAAATTGAAGTCTGAAGCTGTCAATGTTGGGTCTCTTCCAATAAAGAGATCGGCTTCTAGCGAACTCAAGGATCAAGATAACGAGGAGGAAAGAACAGACACTACAAGAAGAAGAATTGCAAAGTCGTCTAAATATATACTTCATGTGGTAATTAATTCATTGCTTCCTTGACATATAATGTTATGAAAATTTTATCAACTCTAACGACAGACTAACTGTTTGGTTCGCTGTTTAATTTGTAAATATCAGGAAGATGACGCCGTCTCCCGAGAGGTATGTCTTAAGAAAAATGCTTGCATCTGAGTTAGAAGAATTTACATAGAATAATACATTTATTGTTTTTTAGGCTGTCAAAGCGATGTTGGAAAAGTTAGGTTACAAGTACATAAAAGCGGAAAATGGAAAAGAAGCTGTTGAATTTATGAAGGCGCGATTTGGGAAGAGTCAATGCGAAAGCAGCAGTTCTAATGTGGTTGGCTCTCAGTCGTTAGAATCCAAAACGGATATATCGTTGATTTTGATGAACTGTTCAATGGTAAGAAAAACTATTGGAATGTTTAATCTGTGATACAGACTACAAAATCGCATTTCCTTGACGGTTTACGTATAGATTCAAGATGATAGGTTAACAACTATTTTAGTTACCTCAGCTTCATCCACATTAGCATGCAAAGCTAGATGCAAAGCTTTTGGCATTCGCTTACTTACTTATATTTCGATTAATTCTAGCCTGTTATGACGGGTTTTGAAGCAACTCGAGCAATCAGGTTATTGGGTCCGGAATTTCAGAAGATTCCAATTGTTGCATTGACTGCATCTGCCACAGAAGGAATCCGCGAAAAATGTTTGGAAGCTGGCATGAATGATTATATAAGCAAACCGTGTCGGTTGAAACTCTTGAAAGAGAAATTGGCTGAATTTCTTGGTGAAGATTAATTTATGAATTCCAATTTCTGGAACTAACGAATAAGTCCATAATAAGTGTAATATGATTAGTTTTTTTTTTGCGCAATTTGCGTTTTTTGCACATGAATAGAGGGGGGGGGGGGAAGATATATACGTGTCCTATTCATAAATTTGAATTTGGGCCATTAATATTAAGAAGGTATGTTATTCGCGCTGTAAGTACTTTAATTTTTACTGTGAGGGACATGCACATAACTTTTCTTAAGGTGGTTTAAAACCCTTTTACTTTATTAGTTATCATTTTCCATACGCTTATAGTCGACATATGAATAATTTTCTGCATTATATAAAATATTTAGAGACACTTTCTTTTGGAATGTCATTTTACAATGAATAATCCCAAACCTCCTACAGATCGAATAAGTCGAGCTTGTGATGAATTGTCGGTTATTTGCAATTAGAATATGGAGGGCTGCGCATAGAAGATGGAAACTGATTACAAAATTCACTCGACTTATTCAAAAAGTCAATGCATTTCATTATTATAAACGGTAACGAGATATATATCACGTTTGTAGTGTCGGTAAGGGTAACGGTTCATACGTTGAAGAACTAAATCACACCATATGATACACCAGTTTAGGGCCATAATCTGTAAATAAATCTTTCTTAGTTCACAAGTATCTGTCTATAAGCTTCGGAAAATGTCTCAAAAAGAAAGTAGTTCAACCACAAACGATAATTGAGCGATCATACTCAACGAATTAAAGCTAGTTCCTCTTTTTGAAAGTTAGAGGCAGAGAACCAATCATGCGACGCCCGCGTTTTAGAGGATACTTCGGCGGTTTCCCGTCAAGAGTACTAATCTCATACTTTCTAATAAGTATTGACATTGCCATCTTAATGTTCCTACTAGCTAACCATCTACCCGGACATGCGTGTTTTCCTAGACCAAAGGTTATCGAGTCCCTACCAATTTTAGTGAATGGGGACTTGCCAACGTGTCGGAATCCAGAAAACGTCTCCGGATTATCACCGTGCAGAGAAGAATTGGACGCGTAGGCGAAATTGTTCATAACCATCAGGCTGCCTAAGGTCGGGCAAGGTTCATTTATAGTTAGATCGAACGCTTGAAAATATACAGAGACTAGATAAATAACACACCTTTAGGAAGCTGATACCC